CCGAGAGAGGTGTCCCTAGAAGGGCCGGGAGGCCCAAACAGCTGACATGTGGGGGCAGGGCTGGGCGACGCCCCCAGAGGCTGTGGGCTGTACCTCGTGCTTCCTCCATGCTGCCCCCTGCTCGAATGTGGAGGGGCCCGGCCAATCCTCCCGCCAGGGACTGAGAATGGAAGTTTCTTCTCTCCTTGGCCCTGGTACCCCTCCCTGGGCTCCCCAATGAGATCACAGCGACTGCACTAATCCAGACCATCCCAGTGCTCTGGACACCTCCCGCAGCCCTGCTGAGCCACCACACCTCCTGTGCGCCAGAGACAAGGGACAAAACCCGCTGCTAAAGGTGGCAGCTGGAGGCCCCAGTGGGTGCAGGCGATTAAGATTCCATGCCAGCCCCGGGACCTGTCAGCTGTGGGAATTGCTCGTTCCAGCTACCGAAGTACCTACGGGGCTCATTGGCACAAGAGACAGGGGAGTGCTCGGAACGGGCGCCGTCTGCCCTCAGACCAGCCGAGAGCTAGCGCCCGAGAACAGCAGAGCCCACACGCTGCCAGCACCCGCTGCCCAGCTCATCGAGGGAGTGGGGACAACAGGGAAAGGGGGTACTCACAAACAGCAGCCAGCGTCAGCCGTTGCACCTCAGCCAGGGCCAGGAGGGGCGCACGGTCATGGACCGAGGCAGCCCTCCCTCCCTCCCTCCCCTGTGGAACCCAAAATAGCTCAGCATGCCCACGGCTTAGGGCCTCTCTGCTTCCCGAGTGCCCGGGGCGAAGGGCAGGGACACAGCAGGTGGCTCAGAGGAGAGTGTCTGCCAGCACTTTTGAATAGAAGATGCTGTAGGAAGAGATCCAGCACTGGCTTGCACCTCACACCAGTGCCTGGGGGCATGGCAGGGGGGGGGCTCTAGTGGGCAGGGGGGCAGGGCGGCGGCAAGGCCATTCCCTGCCCATGCCCAAGAACAGCTGTGGCATAGAAATCGGGGCAGAGGGTGGCACTTTCTATTCTCTGTCCAGGAACAAACCCTCCAACATCCCTAGGGCTCCAACCCCCCTTTGGGTCAGCAACTCTGCTGTGCCCTGCCCGCTCCCTGGCAAGCTAGCCCAGGCTGTGCCCACTCTGCCCACATCCAGCCTCCCGTGCCCTGCAGAACCAAAGGGGAATTCCGCTTCCTAACCCAAGCTCAGCGGTAGCAAGAAAGGGGTGTGGGCAGCCCACCAGCAGCACGGGCACCTGCTCCAGCCACCCTTGCTCGTGCAGAAACTTTCCCTGCCCACCCTAATCCGCTCTGCATCAGCGATGGAGCTGCAGGCTCCCAACTGCCTGGGGGTCCCGTCCCCTCCCATGGGCTCCCACTGGGGCACCCTCTGGTCCCACAGTGCCCGGAGCACCAGCTAGCACGAGACCCTTCCCCTGTAGCCAAGCTGTTCTCCCACCTGCAGCTCCACTCACCTGAGGTACCTGAGCGGCTCGATCTGCTCCCCGCTCTGGGTGGACGGGCAGCTCATTGTCCCTGGCTGAGCGCGGGGCAGGGGGTACAGCTGCCCCCTCTCTGCCTTGGCTCCCAGCAGCTGGAGCTCCCTGCACTGCTGCCGCTTCTCTGCTCCTTTTCTTTATGGCTTCGAGCGAGCGCAGAGCCACCTTCCAGGAGACGGAGCCAGTCATGAGACAGCAGCTGCTGCAGGGAAGGGGGACGATTGGTTGGAGGAACAAGCGAAATCGCCTTCGCCCAATGGGAAGCGGGGAATTGGTTAACCCCTTCCAGCCCACATGGCCATCAAGCAGCTTCAACAAGTCCCGTGGCTGGGTTTGCTCCTTCGGAGGCGAGTGCCCCAGGTTGAGTCGTGCCCACCCGAGGGAACTGGGGCGACGCTCTGGGGTGGAATAAGCTGGCAGGTCTCAGTGCTATCCTGCCATCACAAGTGGAACAGATTGGGACTTGGCGGAGGGGCCGAGGCCAGCCAAGCCGCTAGAACTGGGCTCCCCCGTCCACAGAGACGGACATGAAGAGGCACCTGGAGGGAAGCCTGCATCACTGCGCCCTGTTCCCCACCGGCCACAGAGGCGTGGGGAGAGCCGGAGCACTCAGCCCGGCGTTGGCTTCACCCCCATGAGCATCAGGGCGAGAGCTCGGCGGATTCCAAACTGCCCTGCCCAGAGCAGTTCCCAGGGACAAGGGAGCCCGGCCCTGCTCGACCGTACACCAGCGTCACCCCTTCGGCTGTAGTGGAGTCACTCCTGATTGACACACCAGCATGAGGGACAGCAGCCGGCCCAAGGCCGCAGGGGAGGCCGTGCTCTGGGACAGGTACCCAGTGCAGCCACGGCTGGCAGTAAGGTCAGGAGAGATCAGTGGGGTCAGTCAAACCCCTGAAGGTGCCACCCCCCCCACCATTCAGACCCACTCTTGAGGTCTGGGCACGGTTTGCTGGGAAGAGACCAATGGCCATTTCCTCAGCTGAGTTCTAGCCCCTCAGGGCACCTGCAGAGCCAGAGAGAAGCCGCCTGGAAAGGGCCCTTGCTCAGCTGGTGAATGCAGCCATCTTGTTGCCACCCCGCACAATGCACCCAGCCTGGTGCAACCCTCCATATCCCTTCCCGAGCCACACAGCCACCCTGAAGTACGACGTTCCCCACAATCCAGCCGAGCAGCTGGCAGGGCCACTCACCGAGCTCCTTGTAAAACGCAGCTCCCAGCTGTCTTCCTTCCCTCTGCAGCTGCTCCCCAATGGCCTCTGGGGGCCTGCAGCCCTGCTGGCGGGAGGGAGCAGCAGTGGACAGGATGGGCTTCCGGCTCTGCAGAGAAGACCGCTCCTTCCCCCAGCAGATCCCTGGGAACGGGAGGGGCCTTCCCCAAGTCCCTCCCCCCAGAGGCAATGGCCCCGGGACAGCTCACTGACTGTTCCAGCGCCCTGGGGCCCAGCGAGATCTCTTCCACCTGGAATACGCCTCCTCCAAAGCATGGGGTGGATCCTTTAGAACTAGGCAAAACTCCAACTACTAGAGTCTAAGGAGTCAGGCTGCTCCCTGGGGAAGGGGCGTAGAAGGGGATTGGCTCCTGTCAAGGAAGGGGACCCCCATCGCCACAACACAGAGCATGTCGCTAAGAAAAGTCTCTCCCCTGCGGATGGGAGGTGAATTAACAAAGAGGCAGCTGCCGCCTGGACTGCTGAGATCTGACAACCTCCCCGGGGCTGTGCGCAGTTCCTGGAGCCTGGCCTGTGCGCAGGGTGAGCGTTTCCCCCAGCTCAGTCCAGTGCATGTGTGCTTCACCGGCAGACAGGCAAGCGGGCGCCAAGGCTACTGTTCCCATGCTTAAAGTTCAGGCCGTTAACCCATCCTCTGCACTTGAACAAGGCCCTTCCCACAGCCCCCGCCCTGGGCTCTGAGAGACGCAGCAGGCTGAAGCCACAGCATTCGGAGCACTCAGAATCAGCAACCCCATCAGCGAGGCCATGGGCCGAACACGGTCAGAGATTTCCCCTCTCAGCGCCTAAAGCGTGGAGGGGGAATTGAAGCATGTGCATAAGTGTTTGTAGGATCCAGGCTTTACCGTGGGGTAAAGGGCAAGCTTCATTTACCACAGTGGAAAGGCAGTCTAGCATCAGCCGGGGACAGCACCTCCTGCTGGGAAGGGTTAGTAAAACAGCAGCTCCCACTAGGAAAGGAGCCCAGGACAAGAGTTACTGAAAGAGCAACAAGAGGGGTCCTGCTTTTCAAAATTCATTTTAACAAATCCCTATAATATCCTGGGGGGCGGGGGTGACGGTAGGTAGCTGCTAAGGTATTGGTCCTAAGCACTGGGGTGCTGTAGGCAGTGCGAACATGCATTTCTAAGTGGGTTAGGCTTTGAATGGCTCTTTCCATAAAACAAGCTCCCATTCTTAGCCCCCTCGCCGTCCTCTAATAACCCAACAATGCCCTGCACTACAATTCCTAGAAGCTAAAAGGCCACACAAGCCTAGTTATTTCCCCCCATGCCGTTCTGCCTGCTGTTAAGGAGAAGCGTAAATTCAGTCTGCCAGCTTGGATTTCTCCTGCACGCTCGTTAGCTTCTGGCCGTGTTGTTTCAAAGCGAGGCTTTAATCAGGCCGCTGGAGAGACGCGTGCATTTCCCGGACCCGATCTCGGTTACATTTTAAAAATACTAGAGCGAGGTCTGCGGAGTTTGAAGCGGGGTTTGTTTTATCTTTTCCTTTTTCAGAAGGATGGAGCTTTCCTCCTTCGTCGGTTCATACCCTCCCCTCCCCCCTTCTTTCAGTTTAACTAATTGCCAACTTGTTCCCTTTGGTTCTGCAGATGGAGGGGAAAAAATCCCAGGCTTGCATTGGGGGGGAGGGGGAACCCATCTTTTACATTGCACACGCACAACTATGGTACAAGGCAGGCTGCTCTCACAGTTAGCCCCCTGGTCTGCAATTCAGGAAAGCTGAATTTCTAGCTCTGAATCAGACTTTTCAGTTACATCATTAAAATCTTTCTGGCCCAGATCCTCGAAAGGTATTTAGGTACACAAGACCCATGACGTTGAGAATCCGGGTCTCTGGACCTAGGCAAAATGAGGACAGCACTTCTCCCCCAGCCCAACTCAGCATATCTTTCTCGGATGTTTAAACTACAAAGGGCAGGAGCTGTCTCACTCAGTGCTTCACCTAGCACATTGGGGTCTTGATCTCCGCTGGTACCTCTAACCACCACTATAACACAAACAATACCCCGCTACCTCGATATAACGCCACCCGAGAGAACACGAGTTCGAAGAGAACGCGGTAAAGCAGTGCTCCGGAGGGGCGGGGGGCTGCGCACTCTGGTGGATCAAAGCACGTTCGATATAACGCGGTTTCACCTATAACGCGGTAAGATTTTTTGGCTCTCAAGGACAGCGTTATATCGAGGTAGAGGTGTACTAATACTAGGCACTTGCAGATATTAGCCAACGAAAAGACTCGAAGTAGCAACCTTCCACACCTGCCTTCCATTGCTAGTCCAATTTTCAGAGGAAAGACTGGACATACTTAGAGGGCTGTGCCGGAAAGCTCCCCTCACCCACGAAGAATTTCAAGTTGACATTTCAGGCAGATTAGGCTCAGTTGAAAGGAACAAACACTGAAAGCAGCAGAGGGTTATTGGCCCTGATCTGTATAGAAACGGGTGGGATTTTTTTTTCCTGAGTGTCAACTAAAAGTGACAAGGTGGGGGAGGGAATAGCTTTTATTAGATCAGCTTCTGCTGGTGAAAGAGACAAGCTTTCAAGCTTACAGCGAGCGCCCAGATCTGAAGACCGCCGTGGAGCTCGAAAGCTTGTCTCTTTCCCCAACAGAAGTTGGTCCGGTAAAATAGATCACCTTCCCCAGCTTGTCCCTCTCATAGCCTGCGACCAACACGGCAAATTACTAAGGAAGTGCAGTTTAGATAAAGAATTTGCCCTGCAGCGTTTACAGCCCAAGCACCAGAACAGGTGCTAGAGCGGGAGAGCCAGAAAGAGAAACCGACTAGTCAATAGACAAGAACCAACATATTCAGAAGCGACTTGGGCACTCAGATTTAAGTCTCGCTGAAGTCACTGTTTCAAGTATGTCTACGCTGCAGCCGGGCATGTGATTGGCAGCTCATGTATACGTTCTCCCGCTAGCCACGCTCCAGCTCGCTCGCTCGCTCTAAATAGCAGTAAGGAAAAGGCAGCAGGGGCTGCACAAACAAGATGGGGGGGGGAGGTCAGGTGGGATTGTGCAGCCCACACTGAAGCCCTGCACCGTTGTGTCCTCACCGCTATTTTTAGTGAACTAGATAGATTAAAGCTAGCACAGGGCACGTCTCCGCACGCTGCGAATCACACCGCCAGCTCCAGTGCAGACATACCCATGTGGGTTAGGGTTGGGGGGAAAAAAAGTCCCCCCCCCCCGTAACCATAGTTGTGCCAGCGGAAGCCCTTGTGTAGCTGCAGTTATGTTGGCAAGGAAGTCCTAGTGCCAGTATGACGTACTCCATTCGGGGAACTGGTTTAAGCAAAAAGAACTCTTTGGCATGGTAAGAGCAGCTCCCCCATGAGGAGGGTGTCCCGGGACAGCTTAAAGCAATTTGGCAATCCTGGCAAATGCTTTTCAGCGCAGGCAAAGACCGACACGTTTGAAAATAGGATCTGGACACCTAGTTTTACCCCCCAAGCAGAATTGTTAACAAGTAAAATAGGACTGGAAATTCCTCCTGGCGCCACAATCGCAAGTGATGGTGGTAACATAGCTAAGGAGATTTACAATACCTCTGTGGTTTTTAATGCCACCTCCTCTTTAACGCCCCAGGGGAGGGGCTTTAATCAGTTTCTCAGGGTTGTGAAGAACACTGACAGGTGTAACAGAGCGGATACCAGCCCCCCGCCCCCCTCAATCACCCTGGGTATGTGAGAGGGGCCTGTCAGATCCTGTTTAACGAGTCCCTCCACTTCCACCTGGTGCTACACTGGCCTTTCCCCGTTTTCTAAAATGCCTATTCATGTCTGCCCTTTGCTCCCTTTTTTTTTAAACAGTAGCTCACAGCATCTTAGCTGCCAGCCTGTATTGCTTAGCAACCACACAGCTGTGAAGGTGTGTGTGCGTGAGGAGGGGCAGGCAACCACTCCTTAGATAGACGCCTTATAGTGCTTTGCCAGGTGGACATTGGCCAAATCAAGGCACAAGCCGACTTTCCGACTGATGAAAGCATCTGCGGTTTAAGTGACCAACACTGCTCCTGTGAGTCACCCCTGCACCCAGGGCTTAAATCCAGCCCGAGCTGTCCAGAGCAGAGCTCCAGTCAATATTTTCAAACCCCAGGGAGTTTTTATAGCATGTTGGGGAGGAGCAGGGGGGGCCCCAGGAAATACTCTCTAAGAATTAAAGCCCTGCCTGTGCCAGCATGCTGCTCCGGCTAGAGCCCTATTGATTCTCTGAGCACACCTGCCAAGTTTCTGCTCGGCAGACCACACCTGGCCCAGCTCGTCTCCCTCTGGTGGCGCAAGGCTGTCAGTGAATGCTCAGGGGACAAGCCAGCAAACACAATTCCTTGCCTCCTGTTTGCACCATGCACCCTGGGGAGCAACAGCCAGCTCCGGAAAGCAGGAACGGCTGCGGTGCAAAGATCCCCTCCCCATTTCCTGTTTCAGTCTCTTGGGGAATGCTGCTCTGCCCTGTTCCGCGCCAGGCATGATAGAAGCCATCAGGGCCAGCTCCAGGCACCAGCTTACCAAGCAGGTGCTTGGGGCGGCCACTTCAGAGAGGGGCGGCACGTCCAGCTGTTCAGCGGCAATTCGGCGGACGGTCCCTCACTCCTGCTCGGAGCGAAGGACCTCCCGCCGAATTGCCGCCGCAGATCGCGATCGCGGCTCTCTTTTTTTTTGGTTTGGCTGCTTGGGGCGGCCAGAACCCTGGAAGCAATGCCTGTGTCTCTCTAAATGTAGGAATTTCTAGTGCAAGGTTCATCCTGCCCCCTATCCAGCAGCTTCAGAGGAAAGCACGAGGAACCCTGCAGGGCTAATCTACCCCCAAGGAAAAGCTCTCCCTGACCCCCACTAGAGATTGGGGCTCATGTCCCACAGTAGGAGGATTTCCAGATCTGCCAAAGCTGTAGCTATTGGGATAAAAAGATCCCAAGTTATTGGCCAATCAACGCTAATCTCTTGGCTTCCGGCTCGTAGCAGTGAGTTGCACAGGCTAGCGCTGGTACGTGAAAGTCTTCCCTCAGCCGCATTTTAAAGTTGCTTTCAAAAAGCTTCTAAAGCCCCTTAAGAGAAGGTGCCATAGGGCAATGCAAGAATTGCTGAATTCAAAGAAATACAGTCAATTCCGTATCAGCTGGGCCAGCTCCTCTCCACCCTGCCAGCAGGATCCAGCCCCATCACACAAGCTACACCCCAGCCCCTAGACAAGGATTCTTGGCATCAGCTACA